CGTTAACGCGTCGAGATCTTTTCCCAAATACAGAGAAAAAACCCCTAATTTTCTCTGTTATAGATCCAAGCGAAATTCAGGAGGAGGAGATCTAAGAGGAATTGATCGACATGGGTAACACGGATAAGCTGATGAATCAGATATTCGATCTGAAATTCACGTCGAAATCTCTTCAAAGGCAGTCAAGGAAGTGCGAGAAGGAAGAGAAAGCAGAGAAACTCAAGGTGAAGAAGGCGATTGAGAAAGGGAACATGGATGGTGCTCGGATCTACGCAGAGAACGCCATTCGTAAGCGTAGCGAGCAGATGAACTATCTTCGTCTCGCTTCTCGCCTTGACGCTGTTGTTGCTCGTCTCGATACTCAGGCTAAGATGACCACCATCACCAAATCCATGACCAATATCGTCAAATCCCTTGAGTCTTCTCTTGCCACAGGTATTTCAATCTTCATTTGCTGATGTTGGATTATCCAAAGTTTTCGCCTTCCATCAGTTTTATGCTGTTCATAGGTGTTTGGTTGAAGTGGCTGTGTTGCTGATGATTAATTAGGGTTTGGTTTTATGAAATTGAGCCTGAAGAAGGCATTACCACCATGGTTTATAGGATAATTTAAGGTTAATGTGGACTTGAAGGATTCTTCTGGGTAGACAGGAAGATTTTGTTCTTATGGGAACACATAAAGTTCATATTTTTGTTCTGTTGTATGCAACTGAGATGTAGAGCACAAGGATAATCTGATTCATTGCGTTGTATACAACTTGGGTTCTTATCTGTTTCTTTCGACAGGTAATCTACAGAAGATGTCAGAGACTATGGATTCATTCGAGAAGCAGTTTGTGAACATGGAGGTCCAAGCTGAGTTCATGGAGAATGCCATGGCTGGTTCAACATCATTGTCGACTCCAGAAGGTGAAGTCAACAGTCTGATGCAACAGGTTGCAGATGACTATGGTCTCGAAGTCTCTGTGGGGCTACCTCAACCTGCTGGTCATGCTATTCCAACTAAGACAGAGGAGAAAGTCGACGAAGACGACTTGTCCAGGAGGCTTGCCGAGCTTAAGGCCAGAGGATAAATGAGCTAGCCTACGATCGTGCTTTGAACTATCTACCACTTTGCATGGATCCTTATTGAAATGTTGCTGCTATTATCCGCGCAAACACTGGCGTATTTGTATATGTTTTGTTTATAACTTTATATAAAACCTTGGTGTGTTTTTAGTTTTACCATCTCAATGATATGCTTTCCTTTTGAGTTTGTGCATTAAAAAGTTTCTTTTGAGTCGCTTTTGGTTCCATTTACTATGATATATGATACATCTAACAAGTAACATCCTTATTCGTAGAGTCTAGTGTTACATTTTATGCAGATATGTTATATTCTATGCATAAGACATTATCATGCTACTATTCTTGTGAGCCAGTGGATCTTCTTTCGAAGCTTGTGGACCATCTTGGTTGATTTCGGGCGTGATAGATGGAAACCGATTGAGTCAAGGTACCAGCCGCTCCTACCGTTCATGCCAACAATTCGTCCTCCATTGACTGAGAAAGTGAAGGGTGTTCCTTGTTCAATTCCATAAGGTCCATACACTTCTTTATTGCTCTTGAAAGTCATTGATCTGATCACAGGAGTGCCACTGTGAACCACCGGACAGTAGTAGCCATTCACGCCAATCAGATACTCATCTGGGTATTGCAGCTTTATCTGCAGAAAGTAGGTTCATGTAAAAGAAACCAAAGTCAGAGAGGAAAGAGAGACAGAATTCAGAGTGAGAGAGGAACATGCCTCTGATGTTTTGTTGCCTCCTTGACCTCCATGCTTCACTGATCTTACAGGTTTACCATTCTTATCGTAGACCACGGAGATGGAGTCAATGCAGTGATCATATACAAGTTTGATCTCGCGGACACCATGATAGATCCCATCGTCCCAAGCGGTTCCTCCATTTCCTCCCCATGGTCCTACGAACACAGTCAGATTCTTATCACCTTGTTGTTGCTGTTGATCCATGTGTCCGTCCTGCTTTTTAATTGACAGCTTACTTTTGTAAACAAGGTGCAAGGGAAGATGCTAAGAAACCAAAGTCTTACAACAAAGATGAAGCTGCTATAAATCTGATACCATCTTATGAAGAAACTTCTTCTTTACTGCAACAGAAGCTTTTTGGAATCCAATCAGGTTTCGGATTGATACAGACCAAGCATTGAGTAGTTAGCTATGCAACAACGCGTATAAATAGAGGGCAAAACGATGAAAAAGACAGGACAGCTACGTGGAAGGTATTGGATTCCATGTCTACGTTTGATTGTCCTATCTTCCTTAACGTAAGGAACTAGGAGATTCCAGAAAACTTCAACAAGAAACATTTAAATAAGAACAAATTCCAATAGTGTTCATGAAGATAAGAAGCATATATCCTCTAGTTTTCACATTACCAAGATTTAAATCCGCTCGAGTATATTTATACAATATGAACATGTCCTTTACTTTCTGACACAGTAAGGTTTGAAACTTTATTAAGCTTTTGATCCTTACATCTCTCAGTCCTACTGTTTACATGGACTATAGACCAACTCCTATATTATTTCATGAATTAACTAGATGAGTCCAATGAAAGAATGACCAAATGAACAGACTAACTGTAGAAGAATCAGCAAACTAATCCAGAGAATGCCATCAAGCTCATCTGGGGAATCATTAGAATCTCATTCTCTCTTTCAGCATCTTCAGCCCCATGTACCTGAAATAATGGTCATATGGAAATTTGTTTTTAGTCTGACCAAAAAAGCACTGATACAGACAGTTTCAAAGAGTTATACACTTTGACAGTTCTCTTACCTTCCAAGCATCATCAAGGTAGCTTGAGGATTAGTCCCTGGAGAGATATTGAAGGTTGATCCATCCACGATTCTGAGAGAATTGATACCGTTGACTTTGAGATCAGAGTTCACTACTTTTCCCACAACACAGCCTCCATGATAGTGCCAGATTGTGCTCACTGTTCGTCTGCAGAAATCTGCCATCACCAGATCATTTGTTTGGTCCAAAGGTAATGGAGCTCCAACAAATCTGAACCTACGGCTCCCAAACCATTCCCTGAACATGAAGTCCTGCATAGCACGGCTCCTGAGTATCTCTCCAATCTTCCTAGTCCCATTGACACATCTCTCTATATCCTGTGGATCACTGAAGTAGTTGAACCTGACAATTGGGTTTATCCTCACATCCGTTGAGGCCAACCTTAGTGAACCAGTAGACACTGGACCTAAGATCTTTTCCATTATAGTTGTCACAGGGACGTACAAAGGAGAAGCTGGTGCTCTGATGAAAACAGAATGTATAGGCGACGCAAACGGGATCACATTTGAAGCAGCCTCCAGAAAAGCACCATCCTCAGTGATACCCACAACTTGTATCAGTGAGCTCTCCATTGGAACCGGGGGAACAATAGAGATACCGTTCCTCGGGTTATCATACACAAAATCTCCCACATAAGACTGGTCAAGAGCCACTGGAATCCCCCAAGTCGAAAGATAACTCCTTGGACCAATTCCACTAAGAAACAGCAACTGTGGGCTACCGAGTGAACCAGCTGATAGTATCACCTCTCCTCTGTCCCGTATCATCGCGTGATGGTAACGTCCCAGCTGATCACGGTAAACAACACCAATTGCAGAGACATTGGAACCCGAGTCATTCGGAGATGAAGCCAGCAAAACTCTCTCCACAGTTGCATAAACAGCAACTCTAATGTTGGAACTTCTTGCATTTCTGAGAAGATCTGCAGAGCTATGCCTCCTCCCAGCTCGATCGAACGTGGACCCTCCAATCTTAGTCCCCACTTTATGCTCCAAGGTGAAGCCATTAAACGGATGAACACCAACCTCAAGCAACGCATCCCTAATCGCAGATTGCCAAGTCCTGAGCTGAGGTCTAAACACAATAGCTCTCTCTACCCACTCATAAGACTGATTCACAGAAGTCAGATCCCAATCAAGACCCGAATTATCAAAGAACTGTTTATCAGCTCTGCTATAGAACCCCGCATTGATCGCACTGCTTCCTCCAAGAACACGACCTCTAGCGTTAGGGACTCCTTCCTCAGAGACGAAAGACTGAGCCGGCGAGTCGAAGTTGTTGACGTCTGTGAGAGTGGCCAAGAAACCATCGTGCGACATCACGTGAGGTCTATTGTACGGAACACCGCCGCGTTCGAGAAGAAGAACCCGGAAAGATTGCGAAAGTGTGGCGGCTAGTGGGCATCCCGCCGTTCCTCCTCCGACAATTATGTAATCGTAGTAATCCTCCGATGCAAAATCCGTTGCGTTCGTCACGAATCGCATGAAACCGGGAGCTGCAACGAAGATTCCCAACAGTAAGAACATCAACGAAACAGGAAAAATCTCCAAAACAAATTAGGGATCAGCGATTTAGGTATCGTTATCTTTCAACTCTTAACGCGTTTTCTTGCGGTGAAGAACCGAAAATATTCTAATCGCTACTCTAATTACATGCATTTTCCATGAAATCGAAGAAAAAAACTCATCAATCGTAGCTAAAGATTTCAAATGTTCATGATATAAACCCAGATTCTCCAGAAATTTTCTTGGGATACTTACGTCGATTAGTGCGTGACCTTGCATTAGACCGAGAAACTGCTCCATGAAGAAGAAGCACCACGAACACCGTGTAGAGAAGGTAACAATCGATCCGTTTCCTCATTTTCGCTCTTCGACGAAAGATTTTCTCAGAGCAGAAGGAAAATTAAACTTTCTCGG